GGCTAGCATCCAGCAGATTGAAGAGCTCAAGAGGCACGTTGAAGAGGAAGTGAAAGTACGGGATCGTTTTGATCAAAGCCTTTCTGCTCCACTTTACTCGAGTCACACTGCACTTTCTCAGGTTTCTAACGTTGATAAAAACGTCTTCTTTTTAAAAGTCCAAGAACGCCCTGGCCCACGCCGTTCAGTCCTCCCGTCACGACTGCGACCTGCTCCGAGAGCAGTATGAGGAGGAACTGGAGGCCAAGGCAGAGCTCCAGAGGGCTTTGTCCAAGGCCAACAGTGAGGTGGCTCAGTGGAGAACCAAATATGAGACGGACGCTATTCAGCGCACTGAGGAGCTGGAGGAGGCCAAGTAAGCTACGACGGCAAAGGAATGAAAATGATCAAAGCGCTTGCCCGTCATGAAACCAACTGATGTGCCTTTGCAGGAAAAAGCTTGCCCAGCGTCTCCAGGACGCGGAGGAGTCCATCGAGGCAGTGAACGCAAAATGTGCCTCTCTCGAGAAGACCAAACAGAGACTTAATTGTGAAGTGGAAGATCTGATGATCGACGTGGAGAGAGCCAACGCTCTGGCTGCCGCCCTCGATAAGAAGCAGAGGAACTTTGACAAGGTCTGTTTCGATTATGACTGATGCCCGTCCAAACAAATGATTGAATAAACGTGTCTTCGGAACCTTTTTAGGTTCTTGCCGAGTGGAAGCAGAAATATGAGGAGAGCCAGGCCGAACTGGAGGGAGCTCAGAAGGAGGCCCGCTCTCTCAGCACTGAAATGTTCAAGATGAAGAATTCATATGAAGAAACTCTGGACCATCTGGAGACCCTCAAGAGGGAGAACAAAAATCTGCAACGTGAGCCAGAATCTTCTCCTGACATCATTAGAATACTTTTTCCAGTATTTTCTAATCTTGCTTTACCGGACACGCCACTCTTTTTTTTTTCTTATAAAGCTGATAAGGTTAAAAGAGGGTGTGCCCCCTCCCATAAACTTGACATAGCCCCAGCAATATGAGTACTATTTGGAAATCAACTATATTTATTTGACAGAACCTTGAGTCACCGCTTTCCTACAGCCGCAGAGAATAATCGTAATGAATAATTTTAGTACAATCGCTACGAGGTGCAGACATTTTAACAGGAATCTCAGCAAGTAGAATGAAATAATTTTTTCAAACGTCTCCTGTTATTATGCTTTATTACAGAGGAGATCTCAGACCTCACGGAACAAATCGGCCAGACTGGAAAAATCATTCACGAACTTGAGAAAAGCAAAAAGCTCGTGGAGACAGAGAAGTGTGAACTGCAGTCCTCTCTTGAAGAGGCGGAGGTATGGTTCAGCGAAATCAAAAGATTTATATTGTCCACCTCCCCCCCAAAAAACAAAAGCAAAAACAATAAGAAACAGGAACAACATCAAAAACTTGCTTTGTTTTCATTGTCTTTGTAAAGGCAACACTCGAGCACGAGGAGTCCAAGATTCTTCGCATTCAGCTCGAACTGACCCAAGTCAAGGGCGAGATCGACAGAAAGCTTGCGGAGAAGGATGAGGAGATGGAACAGATCAAGAGGAACAGCCAGCGTGTGATCGAGTCCATGCAGACCGCTTTGGATGCTGAAATCAGGAGCAGGAACGATGCCCTGAGACTCAAGAAGAAGATGGAGGGAGACCTGAATGAGATGGAAATTCAGCTCAGCCACGCCAACCGCCAGGCAGCTGAAGCCCAGAAACAGCTGAGGAATGTCCAGGGACAACTCAAGGTCCTTACATCCTTTTTTTTTTAATTCATGGTTAACAATGGAAGTGTTCGTGTTGCACCATGACTGAACCATTTTTTTTTTAGGATGCTCAACTGCACCTTGATGAGGCATTAAGAGGTCAGGAAGAAATGAGAGAGCAGGTCGCCATGGTGGAGCGCAGGAACAACCTGATGGTGTCTGAGATCGAGGAGCTGCGTGTTGCTTTGGAGCAGACGGACCGAAGCCGCAAAGTGGCTGAAGCTGAGCTGGTTGATGCCAGTGAGCGTGTGACACTCCTGCACTCTCAGGTAAAAATGTCATAAATACAAGCCAACGTTGAAACCGTGGTGGACAGTATAAATGAACTGGATACCGACTCTTACGCAATTCAAACTCTACATTCAGAACACCAGCCTGATCAACACCAAGAAGAAGCTGGAAGCCGATCTTGTCCAAATCCAGGGCGAAGTGGAGGACGCTGTGCAGGAATCAAGAAATGCCGATGAAAAGGCCAAGAAGGCCATCACAGACGTGAGTTTTAATGCACTCTATCATTCGCCTCAGTGTAAAAGCTGATGTTGAGCTCATGGTTGTTTATGTTGTAGGCTGCCATGATGGCAGAGGAGCTGAAGAAGGAGCAGGACACCAGCTCTCATTTGGAGAGGATGAAGAAGAACCTGGAGGTGACAGTCAAAGACCTGCAGCACCGCCTGGATGAGGCTGAAAGCCTGGCCCTGAAAGGTGGCAAGAAGCAGATCCAGAAACTGGAAACTCGGGTAGGTTGCCCCCGAAAAACAAAACATTTTCTTGTCCCATTGCGGGAGATCGGTGGCTTGACTGAAGCCCTTTCGCCGAAAGGTTCGTGAATTGGAGAGTGAGGTCGATGCTGAGCAAAGGCGCGGCGCTGAGGCCATCAAGGGTGTGCGCAAATATGAGAGAAGAGTTAAAGAGCTCACCTATCAGGTTGGTCGAAACATCATCACCTTACGCAAATGTCACTCGCGTGACCGAGAGATCACGCGGAGTGGCTGAAGGGACGGTTTGAAAATTAGTACTGTCGATTACAATAGACTGAGGAGGACAAGAAGAATGTGCACAGACTCCAGGATCTGGTGGACAAGCTGCAGCTGAAGGTTAAGGTCTACAAGAGGCAGTCAGAGGATGCTGTAAGTATCCCGGATGATTCTCTTCTCATATTCTCCGATGGATGATCTTGCAACTTTATAACCCAACTTTGGCCTCTGGTTCAGGAGGAGCAGGCCAACTCTCACTTGACCAGGTACAGGAAGGTTCAGTATGAGATGGAGGAGGCTCAGGAGAGAGCCGACATTGCGGAGTCCCAGGTCAACAAGCTGAGGGCAAAAAGCCGTGAAATTATTAAGGTAATAACAAATGGCCTTGTCAAAGTCAAACTCCCTAACCTGAGTCCATCTCAAAATCTGACCGCTGTCTTGTTTTTGTTTTTTCCCCTCCACACCATTGTCATTGCAGATCAAGGAAGCTGAAGAGTGAGCAGACAATCAACGTGGCGCAGCAAGAGTCATCATATAATATGATTTTCTTGTTGCCAATTCATGGTGCCATCACATGATGATCATGTTGTGACTCTTTCAATAAAGATATCTTGCAGCAGCCACTCAGTGTCGTGCTCCTTTTTATGCTTACTTACACAAGTTCAAGTAATGAGAGGAATCAAACTTCAGATATCAAATACACAAATATTTGTCCATTTTATTCTTATTCTCTCGCAAATTGTTTCTTGTGGCGTAAAAAGACGTGTGCGGTGCCACAAAGGTACTGCGTGAAGCAATAAAAGGGATAACAAAAAAAAAACATAGGATTCCTGTTTACATGAAAACTGACATTTTTTTACACCAAATATAATTGCATATTTCCATGTCAAATTGTGTTACAGTCAAATAACTAAATATGTTTATTTGATTTGAGAGTGCACCAGATGTAGCTCCTAAATGAAAAATCATGACAACGATATGTTCATGGGCGGTAGTAGAGAGTAGTATTTATTAGGTGATTATAATTTACCAAAGATATTCTGGTGAAACAGTATTACCCACCTACAAGCGATTTCAACCGATCCACTGGTATTTGCTTAAATACTGTCCGGTTCACTATATTTTTGTGCTCTTTCTGAGAGTGCCCTTAAGCTGCCACAAGATGGCGACAAAGCCTTATCTAATAGAAAAATAATGCTTTGGGGTCATCTTGTGGCAAGGCGAAAGCACTGTCAACTAGGAGAGTAGTACTTTAGTGTCATCTTGTGGTATCTATAGACAATTACTGTATAACCCTTTTTTTTTTCGTTTTCGTTTATTGACAGCGGATCTTTGTACCCCAAAATATTATTGTATTTTGTATTTTTTTTTTAATAAATCCAACCAAATATTAGAGCTGATATTTACGTGGCAATAAATTAAAAACAATGCTTGCTAAAGACTCACAAACTAAATGTGTGTTAATCACTCACATAATTCCTTGACACAAGATGCTACAAGATTTTGCCACGCAATATTTATCTTAATGTTATAATCAATCACAAAGCACGACCACTGGGTGCCTTTGAAACCTTCAATCATCCGTGTCAAAGTCAAGGCCCGGGGGGCCACAGTTGCCCAGCCACATCACTTTATGTGGCCCGCGAACGCAAATCAAGCATGTCAACTTCCATGATGCTTGCTGAGGTCTGAACCAAAATTTCAAATTGTCATCCTAATCCATAATAGCAATGTTTGAACAAGTCATTATTCTTTATTCATGATTTTAAAACGAGTTATCCATCAATTTGTTGTCCGCTGTGTATGTAATATGTGGCGATGGTTAAATATTTATATGGCTTCACAAAATTCACAGTCGTAAGGGCCCTCCTAGGGAAACCGTAACTACAATGTGCCCCGCGACAAAAAATGAGTTTGACACCTTTGCCTGAAACGCCCTTTTGAAACACTTGACTGATTCGAAAGTGCGGCAATGCAACTCAGCCATCACACTTGATGAATTAATTCATTGTGATTGTTAAAGGTATTACAGTAATTGATTGTGTTCTGGAATTCTCCACAAAAGCAAGAAGACACGTCGTGTGTCTGTGCTTATTTTGGGAAAATGTGACATTTGCATTGTGTCCCGCCTACAAGGCGTTGGAGGAGTGTCTGCTGCTCTTCTAAAGTATTTCACCGGCGAGAGAGAGAACTGGGATGCTCTCAGCATCATCGATGGCCCAGCCACGGGGTGAGTAATACCGAGCACCGACACGAACCGTCACTTCCATCATTCGTTCCATCTCGGGGCTCAAAGTGAAGCCCCGAAGCATAAAACACATCTCACTGTAGAGACCGATACATAGATAAAAGAGAATGAGACTGGTCCATGGCTGCAATGGGGGAGCAGACGGGTGCATGCTGCATGAATCACGCTGTTAGAGGAGCGACACTTCTGATTCGACTTTACAGCTTACGGACTTTGCCATTTAGAGCAACTTTCACCGTTGCGACAAGACAAGGGACGTTTAGCTAACCTCATTTAATCGGTGTTACCGGTTGGGGTTGAATGAATATCTCGAGGTTACATCCGGTTCAGCATCAGACAGTCAAAGCTCCTTATAATGCCTTTTAACCTCCGGCGTCGTCTGGAACTGCGACTCCAACTCTGCTTCTTATAACACTTCGATTAATTAATCTAATGCGAGCTTCTCATCTTCATATCTCACCGTCACACACACAGGCATGTCTACCGGGAGCTGTACAGCAACACTGCCTACAATCGACCATCTCATCGCAGGCGCGGGCGGACACTCTATTTCGTTTATAGTAAACGGGCTTGTCTTGAAAGGCTTTAAAAAAAACAATACAATATGGTAAATTTGTTGTCATTCATCTGCACTGGCGTCGTTTTAATGTAGGGGGCGCTACAGCCCACTAGCTCAGTGAAAGTTAGGCACTTCCTGTCGGACTCGCCAAATTTAAAATGAAACTGCACGGTAACTATGTCGTCAGAATATTTTGCGCAATGCTAAAAATAGCATATGACGGTCTTGTCTCGTCTTAGAAGTTGAAGCCGTTTTTTTATTTTTCAACGAAGCCGACAGGCTAGTTAGCGGTTGTTGCTAAGCTACCAGTGAACGCATGGTACTGCTGAGCTTCGGCTGAGGCTGAGGCTGAGGCCATTGGTGCTGAGAAATCTTGTCACTGCTGCACACTGCAGGTCCCTGCGTTGACTACCCCCTTGTGTTGCCCAACAGTTGAGACAGAAAGTTTGATTTAAAATTGCACGCTTAAATTGGCACCCAAGAACCTCGATAATTGAAATTAAAAATACCCCTAAGTGTCCTGCTACTATATTTGTGTTGTTCCATATGAAATTATGGAGATATATATGCTTTATTAAGACTGAGAGAAAAAGTAAGGAAAATGCAGATTGCCAACAAAGTCTCCCAACAATCAAAGGCAAGATTACAAAAGCAACAGATGAGATGAGATGTTTATCAGGTTTGCTTCTTGAGCTCGTACTCCAATGTTTCCCAACCTTTATTTAGCTAAGGCACACATTTCATGGCAAAGAGTAAAAATGTAACGAGTATATGCAATTAATCCATAATAATGTCACAAATTTTCTTAGTGTAAATAATGGGCTTCTTTAGTTGAACACAAAGCAATTCCGTTCTAGTGGAAGACCACTTAATTATAGATAGATGAGCAAGGACATATTATTTGAAGTAAAAAAAAAATACACATCACAAATTTTCTTAGTGTAAATAATGGGCTTCTTTCGTTGAACACAAAGCAATTTCGTTCTAGTTGAAGACCACTTAATTATAGATAGATGAGCAAGAACATTATTTGAAGTAAAAAAAAAATACACCTTAATGTGTACATAAAAAACAAGGGGATCCTCATCTTCTTTAACATTATGGAAATACTTTATAAATCGTAACTATCTTCGTCAAATTGTTGTCCATAAACCTAGAGTTAATCCTTTGACGATTGCTTAACTGAGGTCTTGTGCTGACATCTCTTGTGAAGTCATGCACAACAGCAAGTTTTTTTTTTTTTTTTTTGGTGTGCATTTTACAGGTCTGAACGTTCATTTCCTATAAAATCCTCCAAATGTCATCTGCAGCCTCATCCCTCAAGTTGTAAAAGGGTTGTAAAAGCTGCATTGGCAGAGATATACAGAGAAAGTAATTCACCTCAGTGGTAAAACAGCGATGATGCAGTATTCACCAAAATTGAATTCATATTTCTCACTGACTGCCTACTGGTGGCTTTGTTCCAGTACCGACAAAGCCTGTTGGTGCGGCAGCATGCAAATACTGAGGCTTTGCTACTGGCTCATTTGAATAGAAAGCAACCATTATGAATGTTATTCATTCCATTGGTGTTGTGGTGATAGTGTTGTCTGAGGTAGACGACTTTGGAGTTTATCGTATTAGATGGTATTTATTGTTTGTATACGCGGAATAGTAATGTCGTTATTCCTTGCAATATGATTATAGAACATATCAGCTTATTTTTACCCATTTGTATGCATTGATCTTTTGACATATGCATTTTCGAAAGCAAGCCATGTTGATCATTTTGGGTCCGATTTTATAGAGTGGTGCAACTATGCGTGAGTTGGATTCTTTAATCTCAATAAAACAAGACAAATTGTACCTCCAGCTGTATGTTTGTCATAGTGGATTTAAATGAGCTCACATCTGTTTTATGTTGTGTTCACAGGGGAACTTAGACTGCGGTTACTCGAGCAGTGGTGCGCAACAGAGTGACCCCATCCACACTTCTCCATTAGGTAATTAGCGCTTGGACTGGAATAACAAAACATAAATTCTTGTGTCGATTGGAGGAGCTTTCATCCGGCACTGTATTTGCTTGCCTCATTCAGCATCAATGCGAACAGCATTTGTTTGACCCCGTTGTGGTGGGAAGGCAAATCACTTCAGACAGCCACTTTAAATCTCCATGTAAATAATCTGTGTGCAACCTTTATCTGCACGTGACAGCGAAAAGGCAGCCATGCCCCCACCTGCTGACATCGTGAAGGTCGCCATCGAATGGCCGGGTGCAAACGCTCAGCTTATTGAGATGGACCAGGTATATGCTTGCCCAAACATTACGAATATCTTCATTTTAGCTATTCTACAAATGTATGCACTCACTGCAAGATCAGATTTTTTTTTCTCTACTTTTATTTCTGTCCGTAATATATCTAACCACGGTTTTACGTATATTTATTTTTTTAGGTTTTATATATGGGTGGTCTAACGGTATGTTTAAATGCTGACCCGGTTCGAGAATCAGTATTTTCTTCCAGTAACAATCAATCACCAGATTTCACTGCTTATAATATTGCAAACATATTGCAGAGATGAAAGAAACAACTTGACGGAGATTTGTGCTGTCGTTTGTGTGTAAATGTATTTCGAGTGGTGTAACACAGCCATGCGATTCAGAGCCCTTGACACCCTTAAAATGCATCCATTTCAAAAGCATTTATTACCGATAATCTGTCAAAATGTCAATGCAACACACTACTGTTACCTAAACGTGATAATACGTCGCCAGAAAAAAAAAAGTTAAATTAGTTTCCTTCTGTGTGCAAGAGGTGGCTCCTATGATTTACGATTGCAATGTCCTGCGTACTGCCACCAGAACGACTTTAGTATGTTGAACCAGAAGTTCAATGGGTACCACACAAAGCACGATGTTAACATTTGCTGAAAAAAAAAAAAAAAAAAAGTGTTTTAGTGGTATCTGTCTCCGTGCTGCTGAGCCAGAATCAAATTTCCACCTTGTAGATAATGAAAAATTCTTCTCTCTAAGCTCTGACTACATTTATGGGTTTAATACTTTCTGCCTTTTCTGTTTGTAGAAAAGACCTTTGACCTCAATCATCCGTGAAGTCTGTGACGGGTAAGCATCTTCTCTATTTTGGTATTTCAGTCACTGTTTTTAGGTTTTAGCGAAGGGAGTCATGTTGACATCACTGTTTGCTTGCAGTAAGTTATAAAAAAAAAAAAAATCCATAGTTGAATGAATCATACACACATCCCAATGATGAGACATGCAAGAGGTGGGTAGCATGAGAGTGTGCTGTTTGATTTATTGCTGGTCCTTGGCAGAGGTTTGAACTCTATTGAGTGTCTTTCTGTTTTTGTTTTTGTTTTGGCCTGTTTGTTGTTTGTGTTTTATTTCGTCTAAGGGATGTCTTATGCAAAATAATGCAGCGATAGAATTAAATGATGTTGTCGTGGCATATTTGCCTGACTTCTGCGCAGGCCGCGGGGGTTCAGTTCCCATTTAGTGATGGTGTGAATGGTTGTCTGTCTATACATGGCGACTAATCCAGGGTATAGTTTGCTTGATGTCAACTGGGATTGGTGCTCTTCGCAACCTTGAACACAATAAGCGAACTAAAAAAAAAAATGGATGCATTATAATGGTGAAATCAATTAGCATATGTTATTACCCATAAACTCAAATGTATGCATGCATCCTTTTCGTCCCCTCAAGTGTAATTCTATTTAGGTCATCTCTGATTTTATATATGAACGCTCTTTCCTCTCTCGAAATGAATGCATAACGCCAGTAGATGTGATTTTTTTTTTTCTTCTTCCGCTGCGAAGCTTTAAAAAGGTGGATACAGCGTTAACATGTACACGTTGACCTGCTTCTGTATTCAACAAATGCGCTCGTTCATAAAACATTTGGTGACGCTTTTTTTCTCCCCTTAAGTAGACTTCAACCGTGGGTTGTTGACTATAAAGACCACGCTGAGGATTATGATGCAAGAAGACCGCAATGAGAAGGCTCACAAACTCCACCGGCATCAGCTCAAACCTAAAAAAATGCATTCTCGAGCTTCTTATGAGGATTTATGACTTTTTGCCATTGTCGCTCCTTTCCAGCCTTACACACTGCCGCGTTTTCACAACTCTGACCAATAAAAATCCTCAGCTGCAAATACCCACACAAAATTTCTCCATCGTCGTGGCCTCAGTTTCCCCACTGGCGGACACACAGCGACTTGTTGCAGCCTTTTGTGAATGTTCACCTTCCATTATGGCGATCGTTTACTTGGTGTCTAAGGGGTACATTCCATTTCTCAATTTTCAGATGGTCTTTATCAGGCTCTGAACAGTTTGCTCTGCGATATGCCGATGGTCCTCAGCTTTATATCACTGAACAGGTAAGCGTCAATATTCCCCCCCTCGCCCTCACCCACTATTCTGTGATCATAACAGAAGCGAGCGGCGAACCTCTGCTTTTTTTTTCTTTAGAGTCGCAGTGAAATAAAGAACGGGACCATCCTTCGATTAGCCATTTCACCCGTGAGTAACATTTAGCTCGACTTTCTTTTGGATTAGAATAAGTCAATGATGGAAAAGATGATCGAACCCAAGTGCAACGTCAGCACATATGACCTCACTTTTTCTCGTGTAGTTCGGTCAGCGTGTCTTGTCAAACGTGCGAGTGCGGCTCGGTGGACTGAGATTGGCCTCTACAAGTCTGAGAGGAGTTGTTTTTCTGAGCAGCACTCACTAATTATGCGTAACCGTTTTGTTTCACTCCCAACCAGATTCTCACACCTCCGGCACAACATCGACAACAAAAGATGCATGTCGGTGCAGACAAAAACAGCGCGGTTTTTCATGTACTCCTGTCTTTTTGTGCGGCGACATGTTTTTATTTGATCTTTTACTTCCATTTTATGTGTGTTCTCAATTCCTTCATTTTCTGGATGTCCTCTCCATTTCCGCATTTTTTAAGTCACAGTTCAGAAATATTCATTCGGGAATGGTGTTTGACGCCATTTATGGACACGATTATCCATCACTCAATCTCTGAAATGTTTTTTTTTTTTTTTTTTAAAGAAGATTTGAGAATTTCTCTTGGAAATGTCTGAACACTAGAATGCTGTCTGGAGTTCTGCCACATGGTGGCTATGCAGCTGTTTTCTGATCATTTACGTCCTGTTGTTTTACACTTAATTTTACCTAAGTTACTGAAAGAGAGGTTTAACACCAAAAACTTCGATGCTCTTAACCCATTTTTGAACAGGACATTGTTTAATCGCAAGGCTAATCCCAGGCACTAATTCTTAACATGGCCGTTCGTGCTCTTTTGTTTTTTTTCTTTAAGTTTTGAATAATACGTGGGGAAATTTTAGCGATGCTACTTTTAAGTCAGGTATGTTGTTCAGTTTTTGCGGCGGGAGAGTCGCTGGAATCAAAGTTTGGGGACTGCATCATTTATAACAAAAGCAAATGTTGTGCATTGTTATCATGTCAGTGCTATGAAAATATTTTCATTATTTTATAGTTGATTTTTTAAAAAATAATAATTTCTATTTTTGCAATTGCAATGCCTTGATTTGAGTGACATGAGCACATTTCAGTCATTTCCATGAATGCAGTCGTACAGAATGCTAAATGTGAAATAATTCTTCAAATGTAACATATTATATCATGTCCATAAAGCCCCACCACCCATGGATTGTGCAGACGGTCTGAGTGTTATGCCTGGTCGGGGCAAATTGCCCGAAAATGTCAATTTATGAAACAGCAGTGACTCAGAGGCACATCGTTCGATTCCCGCTCTGTCCAAGCCATGTGTCGTCTCCTCGGGCTAGACACTTCACCCGGCTTGTCTCCAGTGCCACTCGCACCGGTGTACGGCTCGGTCTGAATGTTTGATGGTGGTCGGAGGGGCCTCGGGTGCACACTGGCAGCTACGCTTCCATCAGCCTGTCCTCGGGCAGCTGTGGCTGGTTCAGCGGCACCGCAGTGTGAATGTGCGAGTGCATGAATAATGTATCCGTTTGTGAACGCTTCTCGTGATTCAGCAAAGGGGGCCTTATAAATCCGATGCATCATTATTGAACACCTGAAATACCTTCAGTTATTTGCCCACATTGTTTTTATTAGTTATCGGTTATGCATTTACTGTCAGCTCATATGGAAGCAGTTTGTCGGATGGTGGCCTTTACCCAATGATGGTTTCTTCTTGTGGCTGACAGGGCCGTGCTGCTCGTCAACTCCTGGAGCGTATCCAATCCCATGGGATTGACGCTCGCTTAGAGGCTCTAAAGGAGCTGGCCAAGCTGTCCGCAGACCCCACGTTTGCCGCGGAGTTTATCAATATGGAGGGGATTGGGACCTTGGCCCGCCTGGTCGAGAGCGGCACCCAGTGAGATTCTCCCTTTTAATTTTTGGGCTTTTGTCGTGTCAGTGTAGATGTTCCAAATGATCACGAATCCCTCCTTCGTTATCATGTAATGTTGTATGCTGGAGATTGAATGTATTTTTTTTTTAAAATCATTTCTATACAGGTGCAGGTTAAATGAGATGAATGTTCTCTTCTTAACTGCAGCTTTGGCGAAATGCTGGCGTTCACTCTCACTGCATTTCTGGAGTTAATGGATCACGGCATTGTATCCTGGGATCTTATCTCGCTCTCCTTCATCAAGCAGGTGCCTCACATCATCCCACACTTCACAGTTGCATATTCTCAACTTGCGGTACCGTAGTCCTTGTTGTTTGCTCGCTTTGATTTAACTTTGACCTTCCTTACTTCCTACACAGCGGAAATGAGTGGGTGCTGTTGCCTAGCAACTCCTCGGATTATCCGGAGCTCATTCAGTGTGCGCGCGCGTGTGCGTGTCGATTTTCTGAAAGCTTTACTATGGCCCTGGGAGTTTCTCAAAGTAAACAAGTATAACTTTTGTTGAAACGTTTCATCGCTAACGAGGAAGTTCCCGTCCCCAGTGTCATTGCTCTAATAATGATTCACAACCAGTGTATGCTGCAGAGTTTTTATATCGCGCCCCCATCCCCCTTCGCTTCTTCTGTCTTCCCCAAAGATCGCAGGCTATGTGAACCAGCCCATGGTGGATGTGTCCATCCTGCAGCGCTCACTGGCCATCCTGGAGAGCATGGTACTCAACAGCCACAGCCTCTACCACCGGGTGGCTCAGGAGATCACCGTGGGACAGCTCATCGGGCACCTGCAAGTGTGAGCACACACACATGCACAGGGGCTTTTTGCTCTCTGATTTGGGGCCGGAGGATTGAAGTTGTGCGAGCTTGATGTGTTCTTGTGGCGCTGTTTTAAAAAAAAAAAAAAAAAAATGCATCAAGAATGCCTCGAAGGGAAGGCATCGGTTGTTCAGCAAGCCTGCCATGAATGTAAACTTTATCAAATGCGAAACTATCAATGTAGGGTTAAATGAAGAATCTTGTGGGATTTGTGAGTGTGTTCAAGTGATTTGTGTTGTACACCATTTTGTGGTCAGGTATGTGGAGCAAGATACTTCTAACAGGATTATTTTGTTGCTTGATACCCTTTTCAGGTCAAACCAAGAGATTCAGACTTATGCCATTGCCCTCATCAATGCTCTTTTCCTGAAAGCACCCGAGGATAGACGGCAGGTCAGTTCACCAAAGTGCAAAAAAAAAAAAAAAAAAAATCATATGGCATCAACATAAGAGTGTAGATAACTACAACTCTCATCATGAACTTCGACTGTTCGACTTTATCTTTTTTGCTCATCAGCCGCTGTGGCTGGTGGATTCCCAGAGTTACTAGCAACTCTGCATTATTACTAGACATAATTGTGTTGTTGAATAATGCACAAGTGCCATTTTGGTAAAATGGGTCAAAGATAATAAAAACAAAAGTTACACGCATGCACACCAAACACGACTTCGCATAGCACGGTGTTTGCGGAGGTAAATGTGGTCCAGCGTAGGGACGTAACGACATCCAAACGTTATCACGATATGAATTTCAAAATACAGTAAATATCACCATATTGTGGGGAAGTTGGCGATACAAAAAAAAAAAATCTCACAATACGTGTTGTCCTTCCTTTCTGTGCATGCCGTGTCAGTGATGTATTTCTGTATCTCATTGTCCATGTGTGCACTTTTTACTTTCACCACTGCGCATCCACCTCCTCCTCCCCTCCCTTGAACCTGGAGGAGGTGTACGCTAACCCGCTGGAGCAGCACCTTACCGTGAGTACACACCAGCATCTCATATCATCCTCACCACTCTGCGGGGCCTTCACGCCCTCCCTTTTTCTTTGTTTAAAGCTGCCGCACTCTCCATGCAAATGCGGGCAGAACATCCGCTCGACTGTGCTGTGCACACATTCGTGTTGGTTCAAATTGTCATGTTGCAGTCGAAGGTGTGAAGAAGAGGCAAAACCGGTTTTGACTCGATTAGACTTTATAATTGCGCGCTATGGCAGTGCAGATTGAGTTTTTCCTCATTCAACTTTTTTTTTCTTTCTTTCTGTTTGATGCCTCTTTGCTCTCAGGAAATGGCAAGCACCTTGGCCCAGAAGCACTTGCGGTCCATCATTCTTAACGTGAGTCGTCCTCGTGTGCTAACATAAATAGAATGACCGAGTATGTCTATTGAGAGATTGCTGATCAACGCGGTGTTCTTCAAATGATATAATCCCCACTTTAAATGCCGCTTGACGTGACATTCCAAATATTATGCTCAACCGTATTTTAAGTGTTCCTCCAACCGAGGCGTGGACGCTCCACGCTTCAGACCAGCTGCTCAGCCACAGTGGAAAGATTGACTAACGGGAAGCGTGTTGAAGCAGAACTATCAAATGTGATATGGCATGAAGTCTATGGAGTGGGGGAAAAAAAAAAACCCTCTCAGCTCTCAGTATGATTCCTTTGGCACCAACTTGTGTGGAAGTGCTTCCCTGAGCTGGCTGCAAATGAGGAAGACAGTGCAGTGTTATTTCCTGGAGCAGTTGCAGCATTGTGAGCTCTCCGGAACCAAATCCTCCAAGACTGCGACCCCATTATGACGGCTGTTGGACCATAGCAGTGTCTGTGTCCTAATTTGCCTAAGCCCAAATAGCCAGTTTTGCATGTATGGCTTGTCGTTGGACCAAAATTTCACAATGTGGCAAAAGTAATGAGACAACATCTACTAATCCAGTCATGATTAAATCAAAGTGTGTTCAAAACAACTCAGTTGTATGGATAATTAATCCCAAAGACTTGTCTGTGCGACAAGTTTGGAGAAGGCTGCTATCTGCTCTTCTAGCATGAACCCATACGTCCATGATGGCACGCTTGGAGAAGTGTGGTGTGAAAGAACAGTTGCAACTGCTAAAAACACTCAAATAAGAGCCACAGTAAATGTGACTGAAAAGTGAACCCTTCAAGACTTAGAAATCAGGCTGATAAAATAAGAAATGCTGCACGACTTAAAACGGCAATCAAACAAAAATTCCCACAGACAAATGTCCTTTTCTCCTTCCAGCACGTCATACGAGGAAATCGACCAATCAAAGCAGAGATGGCCCATCAGCTGTACGTGCTGCAGGTGTTGACCTTTAATCTTTTGGAGGAACGAATGATGACCAAAATGGATCCGAATGACAAGGTAAAAATGAAAAAGTCTGCTTTTTGCCTTTACTTGATGAAACATAATGATTTGAAAATCCAGGAAACATGTGGCCAAAGATGTTTTTCGAGAATACATAAAGCATAGATTACATTTTGGGTGTGCATGTAATGTAATTACCGGGCTGAAATATTGCACGAGCTAGAAAGAAACAATTATTTTATTCAAATGTACAGTACCTGGGATGGAAAAAAATGTGAATGCTCGACAAAAACGTGATAACTGTGTATAAAACAGCTCATTGTATCGATGCGGCAAATTCATTTTTGGTGGTTTCTGTGACTCAGACCCAAAGGGATGTCATTTTCGAGCTGCGGAGGATTGCCTTTGATGGAGAAAATGACCCCACCGGCACAGAAAAAAGAAAGGCGTTGTATGCTAAGGATTATAAAATGCTAGGTTTCACAGTAAGTTGCCTGTGATCACAACAGAATAGAAATATTTACGTTGATATATATATTTTTTAAATCTATATTTCCTTTTCAAACGTAGAACCATGTGAACCCTGCTATGGATTTCACTCAGACTCCCCCAGGGATGCTCGCTTTGGACAACATGCTGTACCTGGCCAAGGTGCATCAAGACACGTACATCCGTGTAAGTTCCGACTCGCGGCAGGGCGCCGCTCCACTCAAAGGTGTGCGCAGATCACATGTTAACCCGTCTTCCAAATCATGGCAGATTGTTCTTGAAAACAGTAGTCGCGAAGATAAGCACGAGTGTCCCTTCGGCCGGTGTGCCATCGACCTCACTCGGATACTCTGCGAGATACTCCAAGTTGGAGAATTGCGTAAGTGCAGTAGACTGTGGTGGGAAATGACATCATCTGGTGAGTTGGGGAAGGAAATCCATGCCTGACAAATGTTGTTGTTTTTGTTGTTGTTGTTGCTTCAAAAGCTAATGAGGGCTGCAACGACTACCATCCCATGTTCTTCACTCACGACCGAGCATGGGAGGAATTCTTCTGCATCTGCATCCAGCTGCTCAATAAAACCTGGAAGGAGATGAGAGCCACCTCCGAGGACTTTAATAAAGTCAGTAAGGTCTTCACTAGCATGCGCCTAAATGTGTCCATGGACAATCTTACAGTCGGATTGTGTGCAGTATGGCTCATTTTCAAATTTTGGCTACATTTTCGTCATTGTCTAGTTTTCAAGCAAATTGCACAACGCAGCAAGAGATGTATTCATTTTCAATTTCAAGTTTCAAGTAGGGGTTAAATTGTTCATGTATTCCTCTCCAAACAAGAAGGCCAGGTTAACCCCTGAGAAAAAAACGGAAAAAGAAGTCATGATTTATGACTGTGGTTTTATTTTGCGTGACTTTAGACTTGCACTGCGTCATACGACGAGGCGTTATTACGATTGTAGTTTTATCTCAAATTTGGGTCACCGTTTTAACTACTTTGCGGGAACTGCGTGGCTTGTGTTGGATTGCTTGTTATTTTGTTCAGTTTCCAAGCTTCACGTAGGAGCCGAGTAACTCCTATTGTGCGGAAGGTTTGTTGGTTTTCTCAGAGTGAGAGCTGCGTGATATCACATTTCCATCGCTCAGCGTGGAAGTCAACAAAGTGTGTGTCCTTGTAAAATGCTGCTCGCTGCCTGTGCTTGTATGTGTGCGTGTGCGTGTGCATACAATTCTGTGAGAATCCCACGAGAGTAGGCGGCTGAAAAGCTTTTGCTTCAATTAATATTACACGACAGCTAAATTCTTAATGTTGCCGACTGCAGTTCAGAGCGCTTCCTCCACATCGACACCTCTCGAGTCGCTGCAGTCTATTGTTACGAAATTAGCACAGATAGTTTATTTTTGGGGACAGTTTGAATACAAATGAGTTGAGATGAGCAAAAGTTGTTTGCGGACAGAATTTGTTTTGAAATGAGAAGTCAAGCGCGTGGCTCACTCTTGATTAAAAAAATGCAAATTCTTCTGAGGACGACATGCGTTCCAAGCAGGTCATGCAGGTGGTCCGAGAGCAGATCACCAGGGCCCTGGCCATGAAGCCCTCGTCCTTAGACCAGCTGAAGAACAAGCTGCGAGGTCTCAGCTACTCAGAGATCCTGCGATTACGACAGTCTGAAAGAATGAGCCAGGATGACTTTCAGTCTCCGCCCATCATGTCAGTGTCACGTCAAACATCTTTTTTTTTTTTTTTCTTTTTTTTAGCCATGTCAATCCACACACTTCTAAAATGGTTTCCAAAACAAATCATTCTGTGTAACGTCATTTATGCCATCTGTGCGAGGCAGTGAGTTGCGAGAGAGAATCCAGCCTGAGATTCTGGAGCTCATTAAACAGCAACGACTCAATCGGCTGTGCGAGGGCAGCTGTTTCCGAAAAGTGGGAAACCGCCGAAGGCAAGGTACCACATCAATACAATCACTTGGCTTTTTTTTTTTTATTTTTTCACACAGTTAGTGTGGCTTCTGGTGACTCTGTTGAGCTAAGCATTTCTTCCTGTGTTACAGAGAAATTTTGGTTCTGCAGACTCTCCCTTAATCACAAAGTGCTGCACTACGGGGACTTGGATGAATCACCTCAGGGTGAAGTGCCTTTTGAGATGCTCAGCGACAAGAGTAAGAGTCTCTTTTTCTTTTTTACTGAATCTCTTCGATCGGAAGATCCCATTACAAAATGCAATACGCTACATTGTTGCGAAAATGTCCGTGAGCGATTTTATGGACGCGCAGGTTACATTCAAGTGAATGGGAGCTGATATGGGACCGAGCTGCGTTCCCAAGAAACATCAGTATTAACAAAAATAGTAAAATATTTACATTTCATTTCACTAAATTAATTTTGTATTGAGCAAGATGACAGATTTGTATGTTTAAAAGAAAGAATTCATATTGTAAGTTTTGGTAGAAGCTCAAATTGCTTGACTTTTGAGGTCGATGTTTTGAATTTAAGAACTGGTCAATTTGCAATGACTTTGAATCCAGTATATCATGTGAGCTTCTTTTGATAACTATTGCATTCTTTATGCCGCAAGACCATAATTGGAGAAGCTCGCATTATAAAATAATCATCCTTTTTGCACATGGCATTTGTTTTCTTTGTAGTCCCCGTCTCCGACATCAAGTCTGTGGTGACTGGGAAGGACTGCCCTCATATGAAAGAGAAAAGTGCTCTGAAACAAAACAAGGTAAGTGTTCGTCAAGTTAAAGTCAGTCCCATCTTATCATGAGATTGAAATACAGTACACTTGGCCCCTAATCTGTTTGAGAACGCACCTCAAATACTCCACTCAGGACAATACAGTATGGGCCAAGGTAGTGCTCTACTCGGAACAGTTTTCTACTAATATACACATTTTCAGGATTTGTTTTACCAAAGTGAGAACCCTCTGACTCAATTTACTGTGATTGTCTTCGCTGGCCTTGTCCCAGGAGGTGCTGGAGTTGGCTTTCTCTGTCCTTTATGATCCGGATGAGACTCTCAACTTTGTTGCGCCCAACAAGTATGAGGTAGGCTGACATGAGAACATCAGTGTTTTTGTACCATTGTGTTCCGTACGGAATTAAAGCTTCTTTAAATTGATTTTTTTTTCTCTACTCGGTGAAAACAAATCAGTCTCGAAAAAATATAATAACGTTATTTCTATTTCACAAGATGCATTTTGCTAAAAAAAAAAAAAAAAAAAGAGGAAATAAATAATAATAATAATCCTATTTCTGTCTGGTCAATGTTTGGCCCTAAGAACAATAAATAACTAAATGGGGTTTCCCAGGAAATACCAAACATTAAAATTGTGACTTGTACAATTGTATTTCATCATTTGGAATTTAAAAAAATGCAGCTTTAAAGATGGATTCCCCCAAACCATATAACATAAGCATATGCTGTAGTTGGAGTTATAACAACAGTTTTTCCTCTTGATTAGCAAGCTGGCGGACATCCATATGTTCAAAAATCACCCAGCCCGATCGCCGCATCTTCCCGACCATTTTGAAATTCCATGTGGATGTTTTGTTTTTTTTTCCTAAAATGTTTCATACACTGGAAAAGAGAGCTTCTGGTGATTGCTTTGCTGCAACACTTGGTTGCATGTCACACCCTCTTGTGACCCGTGATTCTTGAGATCGTCTCGGGTCTCGACGTTTTTCTGTAGAGCAGTATTGCATCTGGACCGTCATCCCGGCCGGGTCTGTACGTTTGTTTTTATTTCCTGTGGAGCAGTATTGCATCTGGACGGACGGCCTGTGCGCACTACTGGGCAGAGAGATGAGCAGCGACCTGACACGCAGTGACCTCGACACACTTATCAGCATGGAGATGAAGCTCCGCCTCCTGGACCTTGAGAACATCACAATCCCGGAGGCCCCGCCCCCTGTTCCGAAGGAGCCAAGCTCTTATAATTTCACTTACAACTATAGCTGAGATGTGTTGATTGTAAAGCAATTTAGCAACGGTCAAGAATGTGCATATTATCTCTTTCAACGAATCCTGCAGTGTGCTATTTCGAAAAGGCTACAGTGGAACCTCTAAAAGCGATGTTCTGATTTCAAAAGTGTGATTTTTCCAGACACAAATTTATCTCAGGCAATGTTTTAATTAACCTCAAAACTAGCTGTAATGGAATTCTAAATTCAAGTAAACATTGCATATTCAAACTAAATTTATGTACAGTAAATTTGAAAATTCACCGATCCACGGATTTTATTTTTTTTAAACCTCTGTTAATCAATAAGATATTTACCCCGCTCCAAATCCATAAAAGTAATATAGTTGACCCCTGCAGACTAATTTTTTGGCACCTGGAAGTCACATAGTTGCGTTTTTTTTTTTTTTAAGTCTGTTTTCTTTTCCAATGCAATTCAGTCAGCATCAATTATACTCAGATTTTCACGGGGCGACCCTCTGCTAATTAAAAAAAAAATTTATGGTGGTACCATGTACTTCTTGTGGTGCCTTGGTGCCAAGAAACTATGTGAAACTGTATTGAGGAGCTTCATTTAGAGAATCGTAGTGCTTTTCCGACATCTTCTGTCACACTGCCGGTCGGAAGTATAGGAACATGAGATCCGCGGACATATTTAGGTCACCAGCAGTTATCGCCAGCTCATTTCATGAGGGTACCCCTTTGTTTTCTGTTGGCACAGCGGCCAAGAGCAGTGACAAGGCTCCGGTCCCACACGGATCGCCATTTCCTTCGTGATGCGAGATGTGAGTGTCGCATTTAAAGGAAGGAGTGGAGCCACTTCCATTGGTGGCGAATGCAGTCGGCGGTGTTCATGGCTCGCGCGCGTCTGTGAAATTGCCAATGCCATCTCGAACCCGCCTCCGCATTGATTTCTAATGCGCGTCACACCGCACATGCAGCGGTTCCAAAAATTAGAGCCCTTGTTTAATTCTTGAGCGGAAGTCTCACAAGATTTAGGTGTTCAACCTCCCAACACTAGTTTTGAATTTGAGGATTTTTTTTTTTTTTCCGAGACAACGGAACAACTTTTGGGGCGTTCAACGATGGAAGTTTCACTGTAGCTATCTTTTCCTTTGGTTGTTTACATTTGCGATTGTATAAATCATAAATCTCATCTGAACCTAGTATGCTTGACACAGTGCGTGTGCATGTGTGTGTGTGTGTTTGTGTGTGTGTGTGTGTGTGTGTGTGTGTGTGTGTGTTTGTGTGTGTGTGTGTGTGTGTGTGTGTGTGTGTGTCTGAATTATCTCCAAACACTAGTCCGCAAAACTGAATGGCCGAGCTCCCACCCACAACTGAACAATTCAAAACCCCGTCCTGATGGTGAATCACAGGACAGATCGAGACAAACAACCGACACACTTTCAATTAACGTTTGATTTTGGAATGTGTGGAAGAAGCCCCACAGAAGCACGGGGTGAGAACACACAAGCTCCAAACAGGAAGGCCAGACCCAAGATTCAAATACAGAACCTCTAAACTGTGAGGAACGTGCTACCTACAATACAATAATACCTTTGTCGGACAATGTTTAGGAATATTATTATTCTATACCGTTTTTAATGGAGTAATTCATCCATTAGCCCTCACAAGGAGGTCTGTCATGTGTTTTAAAAACTAACACAGTTTATTGTCCTATGTACATGTAATCAGGTTTTGTTTTTTTTTTCATAGGTGCACACTGTACTTAAAACTAAAAATAGGATTGCAATTCTGGCAACGATCAGAAATGCATTTGTTACTTATTTTGAAAAATGCCTCTAAAAATATATATATACAGTATTGCCAAATGTCGGATGATTGTAGACTTTTTATTTGTCGTTTCGGTTAGCTGACCCCAAAAAAAGGACACTAACCACACTTTTTTTTTTTGTCTTTGTAATATAGTGGCCGTTATGGTACAAACACTGCACTGGTTTGAAAATAGTTTGTCATCTTGTCAATGTCGAATCGAGGTCAAATCATGTCGATGATGTCGTTTGTTAATGCTGAATCGAATTATATTTTTGTAATGATTGTACACTGTGAGGAGAATGGTATTGAAATCACATCATCAGTTTGTTATAATGCTTTTTTTTTTTTGTAAGCAAGCAGTTTTTGTTGGTTTGAAGTCTTTACCATTTTGGACCATCTTTTTTTTTTTTTTTTGTATTTTATGTTAGTATTAGGCACTTTACCAGACAATGATGATGTCAAACTTAACATTGTGTGCTGTATGGCTAAAGGGTATTCCAAATCCCACTACTATTGATGCTGTTTGTGGGGGGAAAAAGTGTCTGTTTTAAACTATTAATGAATGTTGTAATAGTTTCACATTTTTATGGAAAAGTAAGCTGCTATCACCGAATTCTAGTTGAATTGAACTGCAGTGACTGAAGGTGTCTTCAATTAGATATGCTAACGGTATGGTTTTGCATCTGGTACTTTTCTCCACTTCCTTGTAACAAGTCTTGAATAAGATGTTGATTTACAAATACTATCTGCCCAAAAAAACCCAACAAAAAAAACCCCCGAATATTATATGGTATACATTTGTAGTAGCTATGTGTATATATGGTATTGTGTTGCCTTAACTGGAGAAATTGTACTGTATCATGTTCTGTGTGAATAAATACAAAGTAACTGTTAACTGCTGACCTGGGTCTGTGCCTTTAACCTCGTTTTATTTAAAGTCGTGTCCGTGTAATGATAATATTTGTGGACCAACCCAAACAACTGTCTTGTAAGCTAGAATTTGGTTTTACCTTGCAAGTAGCCTTAATAGTACCGGCACACAAAGAGCTAAAACTTTAACCAGAACAATCTTCAGCCGTCTTGAATAAAGTCGGGGCTTGACGTCACACCCGGAATTGATATGTCATAAAGTACATCAACAAAACTTGTCCCAAATAAATGAATGATTGTTAATATATTTTGTATTCATTTTCATATTTTGTGCCAGTGCAGTTATAAGCAAGCAAATCGAGAGTGTGAACATGTGACATGTTGCTTGAGTAATTCGTCTCACCATATAGGTATGCTCCATGTTTTAGATGTGCCCCCCCCAAAATCCCCCCCCCCCACACACACACACGACCGGTGCGCCCATTGAAAGAATTTTGTGTCTCATTTTCATGATCTTTCCTGTCTCGAAACCCACGTCAGTATTGCCTTAAGTTTAATCATTGCAGCACACAACCGATTTCTTCGGATTTGACTGAGTCGCAATAAGTAAGAAGGATGTTTGAAGGAAATGTAACTGAGTCCTGGAGTGAAAGTAAAAGTTGAAAGAACTTTACTGTAAATAACAACGTACGGATATGTGAAAATTCCACTAAAGTACAATAGCAAAGCCTTTGCGCTACATTACAATACAAGACTAGCCATCGACTGTTAACATGTTACACAGCCAAAGTGGCTTTGAGGCAAGCCCTGGAACAACCGCCCCCCCCCCTCCCAAATTTACTATTTTGTTCCATTTATTGTATTCCTATGACATATTCAACATTAAAATGCATTTTCATGTTAGTGCTGTAGATTTGGGTTTCATTTGATTGCTTTTGAGCATCTCCAAAGTGTTTGGTAAAGATTAGCTAAAACTGTGAATTGGTGGTGAATTTTGTCAGCAATACGCTGACTTGGCTCATATATTTTGATACAACCTGCTTACATGTCGCTTTTAACTGCAGCATTTTACACCCGGATTAATATATGCACAGAGATGGAGAACGTGTTGGTTAATATCGCAATCGAAGAAATAAATCTGTATGCGTAAGAAAACAAAGTGAATCAGCGACGGGTAAATCAAAAAGATTTATTGTATAATAGCTCAAAATAGAATTTCACACAATCACTTTGAGAATCATATTATGCTGAATGAAGATATCGGATGTGAGGTGAGGAATGGCCGGATAAGAACGGTAGTCCAAGATTACTGAGTGCTAAGCATCGATCACTTTGACGTACGAGAACAAAACAGGCAGTCACTTTTTCGTTTTGCATCAGTCATCGGACAGTGGTTCATTTGCTGGGTTACAGTATGGTTCAGTCTGTGAAACATTAAGACAGGAAATGTAACGAACACCCCAGAAACATTTGCCCCTGGACTGAATCAAGTTTTCTTTGTTTTCCAGCCCAGCAGCCGTGAGCAGTAATTTATAGTGGATTTATGCACTCACTGTGCACTGTGTGAGTGCCGCAGCCCGGTTTGAATCAAACGGGTTTGGCTTTCGGAATCCTTTACGATGTGTCTCAACACGCAAACTATGTCATTTATGCTGTCGATACCTCGATAGAAAATAAATAGAAATCTTTCCTACATCGCTGTGACTTTCCACAAGGTGACATTGAGTATATTTCTGATGATCTCAGCAGTCGTGATGAAACAGAAGTTTCTCACTCCGCTTTGGCTGGTTCTTGTTGCTCCCGTGTGTCTTCTGCATAATAACCAGAGACTTATGACTTTTGATTTCCTGGAAAAGAGCACTCGGGTGCTTTCCACTGTCCCATCCTTGGCCGGCCAGCAGCATCAGTATGAGCACAAGGATCATCAGAAGTGTCGCCGCAGTGGACGTCAGCTCCGGGCTGAGCTGCAGGCTGGCCCGAGGCTCTGCCACTTGCTTGGTTCTGAATGAGATGCATTGAGGTTTCCTGCTTGCTTTGCTCCTCTTGCTGTTATGCTTGCTACCCTCGCTGGTCCCTAAATGTAAACACACTCTGTAAAATGTCCCTGCCTGCAGGTGGGTCAGGTTGAAACTGTGCGTGCCAGCAAGAATGCGTGTGGAATACGCGGGTGCGTCTGAGCTCACGGCTTGCCAGGACAAACGAGTTGAGGGGTAATTGCGCCTATTCTGCCAAGACAATATAGCGTAGTGTTCTCCAGACTCCATCACTTTTAAACTTGTCTCCACTCTGAGCACTGAAGGGCCCTTCAGGTCAGAAGCTGGCGCCCTCCTTCTTGTCTTCTGTCTTCTTTGCACAGCCACCGTTACGCTGCGTGTATCGGCACCCAGAGTATTCTCAGCTATGCATGTGTACAAGCCGGCCTCTCTCGGGGTGACCTTTCTGATTTCCAGAGTTCCCTCAGGCAGGAGCCAGTAGCGTTTGGTGGCAAAATCACCTTGGGACCACCTGGGGGAGTCGCTGGAAGCACTTGACTCGGCGATTCCTTCAGGGGCTGTGACGGAAGAGGCTGGTGCTCCCTCAGATGCGTTGCCCGAAGCAGGTCCAAGTCTCAACCCCGACGGAGTTACCCAGTAAAGTTGTGGCTGTGGATCTGCGAGAGCTCGACAGTGCAAAAGAAGTTTCCCTCCTTCTCTGACACCCACGTTGGAGGGAAGCGAGGCGGTGGGGATTGTTGGGAGGCAAGAGGCTGACATCTCGCCGGAGGACACCTCTCTCACCCTGCGGGCCTTCAGTTCCGGGGGTTCTGAGCACAGTGTTGCCTGGGGTTGAATGAAGCGCACCACCCGAGATGTTCGCTGCTTGTTGGCCGGTGTGTCCCGGCGAGGGTGGGAGGCATCCCGTGCGGCCCAGTGAAACAGGCAGTCACAGCGCAGTGGGTTGGAGTGCAGGCTGACCTCTTGGAGTCTGGGCAGGGAGCTCATGGTGCGATGGTGCAGAGTGCTGAGACAGTTTGAGTTGAGCATGAGACTCTCCAGCCTGCTCAGCTGCGCGAAAGCCTGCGGGTGAATGAAGGACAGTCGCGGGTTGTTGGTGATCTCCAGTTTGGTGAGCTCGGGGAGGTTCTCTAGCGCCGCTCTCTCAATGGACATCAGCTCCTCCATGTTGTTCAGGCCAAGCTCCTTCAGGTGGACCATATCTCGGACGTCTCCCGTGTTGATCACTTTGATTCGGTTCTTGTTGAGGTCCAGAAACTTCAGTCCTTTCACTCTCCGCAGAGCCCGAGAAGGAACCTTGATCAGTAGGTTATCGTAGAAGGAGAGACTCTCCAGACCCTCCAACCCATCCAGAGCATTATCGGCTAAGCCTCTCAAGCCCATGCCGCCGAGAATGAGACTGCGGAGGGATTTCAAGGCTAGGAAGCCCTGCTCAGGCAGGGTCTCGACTGGGTTTCCTCCAAGCATTAGAACCTCTAGGTTCTGCAAAGGCCCAAACCACATCGGATTGATAGTGGTGAGTCTATTGTTGTTGATGTGGAGACGCAGGAGAGAGCTCAGGCCAGTAAAGGCTCCAGGCGCAATAGAGCACAAGTTATTATGGCTGAGAAGGAGCTCCTGTAAAGCCAGCAGTGATGAGAAGGAGGCCTCTGGCAGGTGGCTCAGATGGTTTTCCTCCAGGTGTAGAGACAGCAAAGAGGGCAGAGAAAGGTTTTGCGCGATAGCCCTGACGTGGCTGAAGTGGTTCTGTGAAAGGTCAAGGTCAGTGAGGTTGGGGAGCCCGTGCAGCACGCCGGCGTCCATTTCGGACAGATTGTTTCCCTGCAGGTGCAAGGTGTGTGTGCCAAAGGGCAGGGGCCACGGGAGCCCAGTCAGCAACAGGTCATTGCAGTCCACAGTCGGCGCCTCGTGGTAAACCGAGTCCGGTGAGAACCACGGCTTGATGTGACACACGCACCGGCCCGGGCAGGGAACGTGCCATGGCAGAGCTTGAGGGAGTGAGCCCAGCGCTCCGAGCACGCACACGCCGACACACACCGCACAGAGGAGAAACTGTGATCGGAGAAGCACCAACATTGGCCTCATAATCTTTCACGGGTCACCGGTGCAGCTTGGAGAGGAGGTTTTAAGATCTTGTTGAGAAGATGCGAGGAAGTCAACTGTAGGGGGGCGGCGTGCAGATGGCAGAAAATGTGACGGACACTCTCACCGGGATGAAATTCTCAGGCAAACAGGAAAGGATTATCATATCGACATCGATATCTACGGTTGCCTCACATGCATCGGAAAACCACAAAATGTGTGTCTTGCAGCAAAAGCCACCGTATGACTCTTTAGGTACAATGTTGATTGCAGTGGTAGAACATGATGACGGTCTTTTTCTTGTCACGCCATCAATCTATCATCCTGGCGGCAGGCGGAGGACTCCTGGCTCATAGCTCACTGCTCAGGCATACGTGCACGTATACACACACACACACACGCACACACACACACACACACACACACACACACACAGACACACACACACACACACACACGCAGCAGGAGAAATAAATAGAGCGTTAGATCGGGAATGGGAAACCTGGAAATAACTGAAACTTATCGTCCCTTTAATTCATACTGTGGTCTGTTTGCAAACACACGGTATGATTTTTGTGAGCATAAAAAAAATAAATAAATAAATGACAATTTTAGTTGTCTGATATCCAAATCCTATTTATTGGATTTGAAAGGAACAGCCTTAAATTTTGTTTTGGGCCTCAATAAGGCTTGTGTGTTGGTGCTGTTTGTTGATGGACTGTCGTGCTATTTTGGAAAAGTGTATTTCAGTGATAGATAAGGGGCAGTAAAATTGTCATAAGCAAGGCTATGTGTAAAGAAAAAAAAAGCAAGGTCTACTGTGTTGTTGCCATGGAAACAAATCTCATTTTCTTGATGTGGTTCACTGTTCCTTGTAATCTGTTTTGGTCCAGTCTGTGCGCCAGTTGATAAGAACAACACCAACTGAAGTCATAGGTGAGAGATCGAACATCTTGACTGCGTCTATAAAATCTCTAATCGTTTTCTCCGCTGTCATTCCAATTGTGAGTGCTGAGAGAGAAGCATTTGCAATCATGCTACTATGCATACAAGAAAGAAAGAAATCCTACTTAAACCTGCTCTTATCGTGCGTGTATTTGCAGCCATGCCACTCGAACAAAATCTGCACTTGAGTATGAATCAGTGATGGAAATTCTGGAGAATACATTTTGCCAATATCATGGCGAACATCATACAGCCATGATGTAATAATATAAAAAAACATATTACTGAGTTATCATTGTGTACACGTTTGGATATAAAGGGTGCATTGTCCATGAATTCACATTGTCTTTTTTTTTTTTGCTACTGAGGCGTCTTAACCCTTTCAGGGACAGCGGTTACTACAGTGGACAGCTTATCATGTTATCAGGTTACAAAGTCATCATTATTGGTTCATAAAAGGGTTCAAATCGGTGGACAGGAAGTGTCACTGCTTTTGCGCCTTAGCCACAAATACCAACAAAATACAGTGCATGGCTTCCTTATGTCGTGTGATGTACAGTTGTCATAACATCAAAGTCGACCACTCAAGTTGACACCTGAATATCCGTGCGGCATGAGGACAAAGTCGCACAATTTGAAACCCAAACTACAATCCTCCTTCCAAACGAAGAGACTGTGGTTCCTGTTGGCACTCGTTTCATAAGATCACCATCTAATGAGATGGAGAATAGCAGCGACGACATTCATTGGATTATACGAGCAATGCTAAGTGAGCATTGTACGAAAGCGTGTTTGAGTCAACATCATCTCGGAGCAGGTCTTTCCTCCCGGGGTTCTTCTCAATCTTCCATCAGCCATTCACTTTCATCTCCACTCCCTCGTTTCTCCCCCCCCCCCCCCACCCCCCGCATGCAACCCGCTCAATAATGCATCCGTCATTTAATTTTGATGCCCCCTGTTTTTTGTCATTTGCTCTCAGACGTCAACAATGTCAGTTTCGGGAATGTAGAGCGCTGAGCTGAGACATGCCTAAAAAGGTTTTGTAATTCATACTGCTCGTAAGAAGCTTTTCAGATTTAGCGATGTGCTTCATTCGCGAGCTTCTTCCACCTCAGCATTCAAAACCTGGTTGGCTTTTTCTTCCATTTTTATTTCTCCGTCAAAGTTTACCATGTGATTTCACGGTAGCTCCCGGATGATCGCCGGCGACACCACGCACTTACTTAACACCGCAGTCACAGAGTTACATCGACACTCAGCAGCCACAACATTCTGCACGCCTGCGCAACCTAATGAGATTCAATGCAGAACCTATATAAAGAAAAAAAAATTATGACTCACACTGTGAGGTGTTTCTCATATTTTGGTTGCCTCACTGCATGAGGTGGTCAATGTCAAGATATCGCGTGCTTGCCACCCGCAAGTACAATAACAACCATTTTCAATTCCTAATGAATACATATCTGACCAAATTGAACAATTTTGTATTTGATACAACTTTTGGGCGCAGGACATAAATGAAAGTCAATTCAGTGCTCTTCTATATATATATATATATATATATATAAATAAAATTATGCCCGGGTACAACACTCTGTCAAAGTGCAAATTTACAAAAAAAAAAAAAAAAAGATATATGCAGAAAAGAGGTTTGAGCATCGAGACACAGCTGGTGTGGGGATATGTTCATACTGCAGCTCATGCATTTTGCAGGATCGCCTCTTTGCAAACAAGGATATCTCTGTTCTTGATACACTTGGGGAACTCGACCCTACAAGAAATCACCGTTTAGTCGTAAAGTAAAGGAAACCTCAAATCAGGAGTACCGAATCCTCCTCGATTGTACATTCTGCAAGGGTGTTTTACAATTGTAAAATCGTCACATGAAGCACATCCATGTCACTCACCTGTTAGCAATTCATCGGAGCTCTCTCCCCTGATGGAAGATGAGTGCCCCGATGATTTCACTAACTCGGTTCGGCTTTGATCAGAAATCTGCTTTCTCATTAGTACGTTGATAACAATAAACACGTTTAAACTGAGAGCAAACTCAAGATAGCATTTGTTCAAGCGGCTGAATGTCAAAACATTTGTATGTACTAAGAGGAAGGATTTACGCGTAGAAGTGTGGGATGCTTTGACAGAGATGGACGACCTGGATCCTGATTGTACTTTGCCCAAAAAAAAAAAAAAAAAAAAGAAAGAAAGAGATGCATCACAATGCAGGCTGTTGCTGCAGACAGATGCCTGCACAAACTTCTCATTTCTTACCGAGCCTCGCCATTTATAAACTCACCCACGAGCATGCATGCATGAATCCACAGCTACGTGTGTACATGTCTGTGCTATCAACACATTTCCGTTTTCTTACCGGAGCTGGAAAGATCGCTACATCGCTCTGGTCAGCCTCACTGCTCGCGCTGAGGAGGTTATTTCTTGTCTCCTTCTCAGCCACACGCAATTAAGATTTTGGAAATATCACGCGTCTGTGCTGCACTGGAGCTGGATGGAGAGAACGTTGGCGAAGTCTCTCTCTCTCTCTCTCTCTCTCTCTCTCTCTGTCTCTCTCTCTCTCTCTCTTTCTCGCTCGGCTCTGCAGCAGAGCTTGTGTCCCTCTCTTCCTGCCTCCCCTCTTCTTCATTCCCTCCCGCGTTCTCTTTTCCTCTGTCACATGCTGATGGAAAAATACTTGCATTGGTTTACAGGGTGTGGATGACAGGTTGGCTCCCAGTGTGGAATGTATGCATCTGGTTTTGTTTAAAAAAAAAATTAAAAAAAAAAGCTTATCTCTTTATCAAACCGATTTAAAAACGCTGTCAGCAGTCACACAAAGCTGCCGTCCTTAAATTGTTTTATGCGGCCCAATAATGTGATTAAATATTATAATCGGAGAACGACTGCGATTGAGCTTTTCTTGTCGATATGGAAGGCACGAATTTTAAGCTAAGTATTTCAAAAGAATTAAATACAAATATCATTCTTATTGTTATTATTTTATCATTGTCAGTTCTCTGACGTTTGTGTGTGCGTGCGTGTGTGTGTGTGTGTGTGTGTGTGTGTGTGTGTGTGTGTGTGTGTGTGTGTGTGTGTTTAAAATGTATAAAACAGTGATATTCACCCTGGTGGTTGAAACTAAAGGTTGCAGGTAGGACTTGGGACTAGTCTCAACAACAGCAGCAAGTAAATGGCTAGGACTGCATCTGTTCAAGTCTGTTTACAAACAATGAAAGACTTTATAACGCCACTTTTTTTGTCTTTTGATCTGTCTCAATAATGTAAGGCATTAAAAATGAAAATAGGGGTTTTCTCAGCACTTTTTAGATGCGATTAAAATATAGATTAATTAGCTCAATTAATTACAGATCATAATTAATCGCACAATTTTTTTAATCGCTTGACAGCACTAGTAATGAATCCCGAAAGAACATCAGCGGCCACCTTTTGGCTCCATCCAGAAGCGCGCCTCAGCTGTTTCCCCTAATATACAAATGCACTTTTTGCTTTGCACTCAGCAACCCAACAGTGTAATTTTCAGCAGCTGTTACGAGTGAAAACAACATTCAAAGGGGACACTTTTTTTCAGATTGTAAAGCCATCAGTTTGAATAAAAATCAGCTTTTTTTAAGATTAAGTCCATGCATCTAAAAAGAGATGATTGTGCACGTCTTCCTTGATTACCAATCCGAATGTCTTTTTCATGTGGACAATGATCTTTCCACAGACGCTGTCGTGGTTGGCATCATGAGTACAAGCTGGCGCACAGTCTGGATGAAATCCTTTTATGGGCCAAAAAGTAATTTGAGAGGCTGTCCGGGAGTTTTGGATGGCGAGTTTGTCTGCGTCGAATAAGAACAACCTCAACGTGAACGTGTCTGCCCACAATCTGCCAATGTGGAGAGCAGAATAGCAAACCAAATTGAATCGTTCCGTCTTTTAAATCGAATCGTCCTTGAACTGTATATCATACCCGTGTAACCAAATACACACACACACACACACACACACACACACACACACACACACACACACACACACATTAAAATTCAACATTTCAACATAATCTTCACTAAGATCCAACCATTTCATAAGTTGCATAAAAATGCAGAAAGAGAAAGAAGCGAGAAAGAGCCCATTTCCCTTTCGCGGGTCGTTGCAGGACTGAAAACTAACATGAAATGAATGTTTCATTTGATGCATGCGATGAACATTACGTGTTCAGACAGTTTGAAATGATGTGGATAGCAACAAGAGTCCAATGGTGCAGCCAGCTGCGAAAACTGCTTGCGGCCATACATTTTTTATTCAGCACTTAGAGTGCTAATTAAATGATGAAGAAGAGAAATACGGCTTCTGGACTGGTAACAAAAACACCGGAGCAACAATGAAAGCTTCTTTCTTGAATGTGATCTATTGCAGGTTATCGTCCATCTTGTAATATCCCATCAAGCATGTACGGTTGGTTTTGATGAGAGTTCTATCTTTTTGGCTTTGTCTCATTTGATTAGGTGTCATCGAATGAGATTCAGTTGTTGGGTTTTTTATTTCCCCAAAGAGAAATAGCCGGAAGAAACGGCAGACATACTCTCGCTGTTTTTCTTTCAGCTTGCTTTTAGAGATATGAATGTGTGTGTGTGTGTGTGTGTGTGTGTGTGTGTGTGTGTGTATGGATGAACTCTCGCTGGTGGAGAGCACAATCGCACAAAAAGGTGGAGGAGGAGGAACAGAAACAAATTCAAGAGGCCCAACAAGTGACTCAGATAAAACATTTTTGCTGCTTTAGGGCAAAGCTTTCTGCTCATAGCTTTTGTGTGCGTGCACGTGCAGCAAAAGTCCGGCTTGCTTCTCGAATGCGCCTCCCTTCATTTCGCCGGATTCACGACACAGCCAGCACACAAAAACTTGCACACACCCACATGTCCCGCTGACTGAAAAGCAGCAAGGATAAGTGGTAGCATGCTGAAAGGAAGTGAAAGAGACGAGGTCGCCATAGCAACACCAAGGGGTTGTTGTGCTTTTATCATTGCATTTTACCTTAATATCTGTCATGCCGAATTGGCTTCACCTTTCTTTTTCGTCTTGGTGTGTGTTAATTGCCTCTCCCAAAAGGCAGGCACGGGTGGCTTCATTAGGTACAGCTACACATAGGCGCTGGCCTCATGGTTTGGGGTTGTAATCTTGGCCTCAATCTCCGCTATGAGGAATTTGCATTCTTCTGCCCGTGCTTGCGTGTTTTTTTTTCCAGGTCCTCCGGCTTCCAAATCCCACATTCCAAAAATATGCATGTTAGGCTTAATTGTTCAAGACTCTTGATCATAAGGCGTAAACTTGAGCGTAAATGGTTGTTTATCAAGAGGTGTCGTGTAATCGGCATCCAGTCTAAGGTGTATGTGTGTGTTTGTACACGACTGCAAACTGCCCCCTGCTTTCAAAAAAAAAAAGCATGCATAAAGCAGTGTGGTTTTGTTGTGTTTTCATGCTGGCGACATCAGCGAGAACAAAACAGAAGCAGCAAAAGCAAAACAAAACAGTTAAGATTGAAAACAGCTGAACCTTTGGTCACTGGGCAACCCGCTCGATGAACTGAGCTACAGCTCGCCAACTGGACCAGCATGTTGCCGGGACCCAGCCAGGAGCTGGTGATAGCCGGTGACCAGCCGGTCTTGCCGCTGTCACCAAGTACCAGCAGGGCAACAAAAGCATGTTGGTCTCGCTGGGTGGCTTTGTCTCAGTCGGTAGTGCAGGTTAACCAATAAACAAAGGTTCGGCTGTTTGATTCTTGACTGTTTTGTTCTCGTTTTGCTGCGACGCGTAAACACAACAAAATCACGCTGGTCTATGCTGTTTCTTTTCGCAGGGACCAGAATGCTAAACACACATCTCTATGAGGATCAATCAAAATGGAACATGATTGTCTTTGTAATGTTGGAAATTTTGGATACAGCGCTTGTCATCGTGTGGGACTATGGAATGAAGCGGCCCCTCAATGCCCCAAGAAAGTTCCTCTCTGTTCAGTGCAAGCCCTTTTATTTAACCCGGGACGTTACAGCTGTCATTGCTGTTGTTTGCATTCCACCGGATACTAATGCTAACGCCGCGTTCGAGCTATTATACGACGCTGTCAGCAGAACAGATACTGTTTCTCCAAGTAGTTCACATCATAGCAGGCGATCTGAATCATGCTGAATTAAAGGGAGTACTCCTCAAATTACATCAGCATGTAAAATGTGCCACAATGGGAGGGAATACGCCGGGGCTACAACGAACATCTGGGGTTATCATTATGCACATCTGGACCAATTATCTCTGCTCCTCTTATCAGCACATGTATATTCTGCTCAGGAAAAGTGCCCCCACCTCAGCCAGAGCTGTTAAGACTTTGCCTAATGGCGCAGCCCAGCAACTTAGGGCCTGTTTCAAGATTTTTAAAAAATTGTGGGGATATTAGTAATTCAGACACGCAGATGGTTCATATGTTACGCGCGGCACGCGATGTCTTCTTCAGTAGATATCTTCAACTCTCTTTGAAACGAGATCATCTCCTTTCCCCAAAATATTTCTACCTCTTCCCACCTTGCTCCTCTGTCAATTTGAAACAATGGGCCAGATGATGTCTTTTTTTTTTTTTTTTTGTGCGTGTCGCTTGATGTCATGCTTTTTGCGCATGCGTGTCACGTCACGGATGCGTTCCGTTCACATTTGAAGTCACATCTATTTTTGTTATGCGAACAAGTAGCTGAAAAAAATTCCGCTTTAACAAAAAAAAAAAAAGAATAAATAAATCTGAATTGGGCATCATGCCCTGCAGTGTGAATGTCGCCAAGGGATTGTTTGTATGCGAGAGCTGTAATTGCGCTGAACACTGCCAAATTGCTCTAACCCAGTGTACATTTACGAGCAATTTCATATTCCTCTAATTCCTTTCATGCCGTAATAACTCACTGCACTCTGGGACACTTTATTGCAACCAGGATCCTCTTTTGTTATTTACTGTGTGAGCTTTTCTATGGAGAATGTTCTACCTGTTACAGCGACAATCAATACATTCTTACTCATATATTTATTCTTAAATTGAATAACATACAGTACGCGTGGTCGTCCAAGAATGCCAATTGAATAGAAATAATCGAAAATCAAGAGCTCTCTCTCACTGTGAAAGAAATATAAACATGTGCTTTCCAATTGCAAGCTGATCGTGTTACAGTAAATGCTACTCGTGATATTTTCGTTTGTTTTCCCCACTGCCAGAGCTTTTTTTTTTTCATATCCGCCAAGCTCGGTGGCTCTCCTCGCGCAGGACTTCGTGTATGGGCTCAAGGACAACCCAGCCACCCACAAACACATCAGTAGCGTACTGTGTATGGAGGAGAGCAGCAGAGGGAACGCAGATAAGTAGAAAAGGCTAACGTATGCGTGTTGCGTTGCATTCTGCCATCATCATCTCCTCGTTATGAAATAGTGACATCATCGATACCACTCTGACAGTTGACTGTGCCGTCACGACCCCAGAATGCACGTCAACAAATTTTCATACAAATGAGCAGACGATTTGTCACCCGGTGACTTTTTG